CCAGTTGTGTTGAACAAAATTGAACGTGCAAACAAAGATTACTGGAAGATAGAAGTCAAAGATCATCTCCAGCACAAGCTAAATGATCACGACAACAAACGTTGTGCGTATATGATTGAGCAATATAATCCAATGGGTAGCCCTTCACTAACTGCCGAAAATTCGACGCGGTGATTACATAACAGTGGTTTAGAAAACGAGAGACGAACAACTGCTTCTTGCTGTCACAATGAGTTTCACGATAGCTAACCTTGGGTTTCCTATTAAGGCCTGACCGCCACCTGTCCGTTGCTTCATCAGTTTTGCCAATATTTTCGGTTATCCGTTGTGATAACCGATGCTTTGTTCTGCCTCACCGCAACTGCAGGTGAACTGGTATATCATGTGTGAGCCGTGTTCATGTTTGTCTAGATCAACTTATCCAGTGCATGCAATGAGCCTGGGCTGAGCAACTGAGAATATACGATTCAGGAGTGGTTCATAATTCATTGCATACCATTTATGAAGATTTATTTTGAAAGCTAGCTTTTTGCAAGACCATCGGTTGAGTTACGTTTACTTAATTATTGTGTTCAGCCGGAGATGGACAGGTTGAACAACTTTAACGAAGGATAGATAAGCTGTTTTCCATTCGGCATTTGTTCGACGTCTCAAGCTACCGTATAAACTGTGATGGTTGAATGTTATTTGTTTATTGATCAAAAGAAACGGCAGTTGGTAATTCGTAAATCAGTCCAGTTCACGTATAATCCGAAATCATTGATAATCCGTGAATTGAAAAATTCTGAGGATTCATGAATTTATTACTAGGAGGAAGACAGTACGTTGAAGTAAATGCTGAAGCAAATACTAGTCACGTTTGTAGTGCATAGATGAACAGCAATTGATTGAAACGGCTAAAAGCAACTTGCATCCGTTTCTACGTTGTTCTCCGGCATTATTATTCTAAGCAGCTCTACCTGAATGAGAAATAAATTTGGGATCTCACAGAAACAAAAGTATTATTACCGTATTACCGACATGACCGCCAGAAAATCCATCAAAATGTTTCGCTATTGCTACGCACAAAATAGCGCAATCCACCTAGACAGGCTCATCAAGTATAAATATCCTCCCTCACCTGAGCATCCAGGGGTTATAGTGTTGTGAAACGTATCCCTATTCCAGCTAGAAAATAAAAAGGTACTAGAGAATGATTTTGCTTGATTGTGAAATGCAATAGATTCTCGCTTCTTGCGGATCGAAACATTTGAACGTTCCCAAAGGGCACTTCGCACGCAAAATATCCCTTGTCTTAGGCGTGTGATACAAATATGCCATCACTGGTGTAAATTGCGCCCGCGTGGAGAGAACTCAGTGAAGTGAAACTCATTGTTTATTCAAGTTTATGACTACCACATTCCACTAATTGCGACACACACGTATACGTTCTTCTAAAGAGACCAAACGATCGTTGCTGTTTATGCGATCGAAAGCGTAACGCAAGACGGGAAACCGAACCTCACAGTGAACAATACCCGTATGAATGAATAATGATCAAAAACAATCCACCTACTTTAATGATCTATCCGCAGATTTTCCATTATCAAGATAGTTCATGAAAGGAGGTCTTACACTGCAATTAACTATTAATTCTTTGATTGTCATCATTAAATACAACAGAAGGATGTGCAATACGACAACACAATGGTTAATTAACTGCCTTTGGTTGTTATCCCAAATGGCCTTTAAATTTTTGGAAGCCAAAGTTGAAATGATGCAAATGGAAACCTTGCCATCTCCGAATGAAAGTATCATTACGTAAATATGCTGAAATTACTTTCCACTAGGTTCCAAAATGCAACGGTCTTTGCCGGAACCTAAGTCCAGTTCAGGGATTTGGTATATTACGAAACGGTGTACACTGAGATGCAAAAAACAGTCTAGTATTGAATGTTCATTCACCTCATTTGATAACAGTATTTCATATTATCCTATTGGTTATGATGACACCTTAAATAAAACATATGGAATGTATTTGGGGCCAATTTTTCTATCAATGAACTGTGAGTCCTCCCGTCCAGAATCTGAGTAGATCTGGTTCTCCTGATAAAAATAACTGTGATCAGGCATCTGGGGATTAGAATATCACTCTCCATTCGGGACACGCTTGATAGCTATCCTAGTTGTTTCCGTGAATGATGGGATAAATTTCAAGCTGCCGTTATTTGTAACAACTGTTCCAATAACTTTGAGAACGCTTTGAAGGTGAAAAATAGCCAAATAGATAAATACTAAAAATTTGTAATGAGCTGTGCTCATCAAGTCATTATGCTATCTGCATGTCTACAGGTATTGATCAGACTCGTGCAGCATCACCTTGATTTGGTAAATAGATCTCAGTCTCCAATATCATACTTGTATATTGATGACCGTGGTTAAAGTATATTTGTTCCTGATTTTATCTCTCACTGTTATGTTTTTAGTTCTCTTCTTTCACCATTTGAATTAACATGACCTTGAGCTTTGCGATAAAATTTGTAGTGGTTTGAAGGTTACAGCACAGATTTGGAAAGTATTTTAAGCGAAGCAACATGGAAATTCATTCCTTATAAGAAATGATTCCTGTTCTATGAGAGTGTTTATTAAGTTGAGCCCATACATTATAAATTGCTTGTCTCCTTTTATTCAGTGCACAGTAAATAAGCAAACTAATGAAAATATTCCAACTTAAATAAATCGGTAAATTACTTGGCTACAAACTACGCACGCATTATCTGTAATACAGAAAAAAATAAAGGCATAGTCCCAGAAACATACAACTCGATCTTCAAAAGTGAACCTGAAGTTGTGCGGCTCGTTGAATAAGCGTTTTGTTGTGTCACAATACAAACGTGAACATGATCCAAATTTGACCTTGAGGATGGAGTAACTCACTGAGAGATTACGTGAGCGACGGTCCAAAACAAGTGTGCATTTAATTTCCACATGAAAAGCGCATGAAGCCATCAATAGCAGACGTGTTTAGAATATCCGAACAGATAACCTGAGAACGGTTTGTGGTGGACTATCTAAACCTTTCACCAATTTTCCCAGTCCTAGTCAGCATCGCCATCTCACAAATAAATGTCAGCATAAAGTGCCATAATATTTGATCTATTTACTTCCCATAGCAACCAATTGGTTGTGATATTAGTATAAGGACTTTACAGTTTCCAGAGCATTAATAAAAACGCGTGTCGTTTATTATCAAAAGGNTGCAAATATCATATAAGACGTAATCAATAAATCATCAAAGAGTTGATCTTAGAACAGATGAATGCGCTCGGAAGCAAACGCATAAACAAGAAGTGCGAATCAAGTGATTCACTTTTAAAGTTCAATTAAATCCTTTAAATCTTGTCTATTCGTCCCACGATAACCAACCTAGATGACTAATGCAGTCGGGGTGAGCACCCAGCAGTTTGTCAGGCACACATGTATACATCCGACACTAAACAGAAATTCAGTCCGCATTTGTTTCCGCCGAATGTCTCAAGCTTACTGTGCGTTGTGCGCTTCCGAAAACAATTTCACTCAAGGTTGAGAACATAAATCGCCCTGTTATCTAAGCATCAGATGCTTGCAGTACTCCATNTTGAGTTCTTAAATGCGAAATTCATATAATACAAATCATGCCAATTTTATATTGTAGAAAACAAATTAGCTTGGATATAATTAAGTTCATCATGTGACGTGCACGGATATTCTGAGATGTTGGGGGTTTTCTTCGTTCTCACCGAATGTAATTCTTTGGATCACTTTGTCTTCAACATACAGTAATCTTATTGCATAGAAGTAACAGAAACCATCTTGGCATTTTTTTGTATGCACCAGTAATCATAATTATTCCGCTAGCGCTGAAAATAAGTAAACCTGCTACCCCAGACGTGCTTTCAGGTTACTCGGTGTTCGTGCTTTGTTCATATTTTTATTCAAACCATTACTAGATTTTATATTTATTTCAATTAAAAGAAAGTGTGTATAAACAACTACAAGTTCCAAATGGGACATTGGGAAAACATATAGGAAAGAGATTAAAATAACCAGAAAGTTTCCTTCTATTAGCTCAAGAATTTATTCGGAAATTCTTTCTATAAAGTGGTCCAAAACATGGGCTTGAACAGTACTCGATAACTATCCTAAAGGGAATAGGCGGAAATGAAGTTTGTACTGGTGTTGTGTTGACGGACGCGATAAATTCTGAGACAATAAATGTATGGTATCAGTAGAAAGCCTGTTTACAAACGTTTCGTTGATTTTGAAGAAATGATTCCTTGATAACGTGGGATAGAAACCCACAACAATTGAAGAGATTGAAATTATGGCTGGTTAGTTGCGACATGTCACAAGATCGTTATTGAAAAAAACCACAAAGTTTTATTGCAAAATTAGTAAACCTCATCGGGGTCTAAGCGATACGGTAACAGTTGGCTTTGCTTTAAAATTGATAATTTTGCGAAATTGAAAGGAAAGGATTTTACAGTTATCTTACAGTAAGCATGCATTTTAGAGAACAACCTTATAGCTTCGGGTATTTTGACATCAGTTGAGTTTGAGATCCTGATAAACAAAGTAGAAAAGGGGTACAACTTGCTCAGAGTCTAAGTTCCCATTTGCTGTTGACTTCTACACGAAGAGATTTTGGTCGTTCACATTAAAACGCTCGAGGGGATTCATTCTCCTAAGTGATATTGCAATAATTTGCACATCGTTAGTCTTCTATTGATCAGCCACCAGATTGCACTGTACAAATTGTGAAATATTTCATTCTTTAAGGCTATCGAAATACTGTTCCAATGTTGCACTGCAAAACCGCATCCTTAAGGTAAAAATAATACTGATCCTAACATGGCCATCCTAAAATAGCCTCTCAAAAACCAGCTTTATTTGCATTAATTTTACATAGAAACCTTATTTTAGGTTCATTAAATTCCAATAAAATTAAGTTCTTCCCAACGGAAACAGCATCAAAATCTTACTTTAAATTCTTTTTCAATTTCTGCAAGCTTCATCATTTCTTGTCGTAATTCGAACGTGGTCATGATGGGATCTGGGCTACTCAGGGCCATGTAGGATGGACTTGCCAAAGCCCGATACGCATTAAGCCGCGATCGGGAGCGTTTCAGGGAGTCGTAATCCTGCCTGACTTGGCAGTCATTACACTGGCATGAGATTGGGTGCGGTTTATCAATCGTGTGATTTCGAGAAAGGAACATCTGGACCATTTCGTGGTTGTTGTAATGCGCGGACAATATTAACGGGGTGATATCCGGGGAGAATTGACTTTTTTCCGTGGTGCGGAAGAATGCATTTTTTGAATCCATTCTTTTGATTTGATCCTCACCAGCCTGATAGTTTGGATGCTCAATGATCAAACGAACCAGTTTGGGATGTCCTTTACTGATCGCATGCAGCAAGGCCTCTTCAATGCATTCGAAATTTAGTTTATCCAACAGCATTTCCATGGCCTCAGTGTTTTCTGAATCCACTGCCAGATGTAACGCATTTCGACCCATATAGTCTACACAATTCACGTTGAACTCGGGACTGTCATCTGAATCCTCAAGTGACATGCGAATAATCCCAATATCTCCTGTGGCAGCTGCATTCAAATATACACGTTCTTCATCGGTGAGCTGTTAAACAACACATCCAGAGACAGGATGGATGGAGGAGCGGGGGTGGGTGAGTGCAATTAACATCTTGAAGCAAAGAAAGAAGAAACATTCCTCTAGACATGAAGTCCCAAATACCACTGACAAAACTTTCTCCTAAATGAAGTAATAGGAGAAGTTCACTGTGTTGCCTCATTTAAATGGCAAAATAACCAACATATTCATGAAATATCACATATGATTTGAATGAGCATAACTTGTATGAATTGCGTGAACTCGACTGATAAGTATCAGTATCCGTAAGACTATACAGGTATGGAGTACTACGGTAATCATTGTTGAATTGTATTGTCGAATCAACTTTCGTTATAATATTCCAGAGTCCATCTCCTCTAGAAAACTGGTGCTACATGTTACACGATTACAACACGTGTATTTGCAAATTGTTTTGTAGTAACCTAGCTGTTTTACGTTCAAATACTGCAACCAGAAAATGGAACTGTTTGAAGTATCCTGTTGAATGACAAAGGCTTGCAAAATCAAACTGCCTTTCTGCACTCATTACAACCACTTTGTGGGGAAAAATTGGAAACTCTTATTTCCAATGTGATAAAAAAATTTTATGTTAGCACATCAATCTTCATTTGGAATCAAGGGAACTTAAAAAGATTTTGTCTGTGGGATTAATCTACAACAGAATGAAAGCGTTTCGACTTAGTATCACTTATGATTTTAGCTCCGATGTTGATTAAGATTTCATAACCGAGCTGATATTTGGAATATTGAGCGGCATTTTTCACTTTGTAACTTCCGTATTGAAGCAGGTTAAGGTTTCCGAGAATCATTTATTTGATAGTTTAACAATTCAAATTGCACAGTAAAGCGAAAATGTTTATCTTAGTCATATATCTCACAGAAAGACCTTAGCAGTTTCTAAAGTGTAAACTGTAGAATTAACTTGACTGTTCAAGATTTTGAGTTCTAAAATTTGCTTTTGGTTGCACTGAACGACTGAAAAATTGGATTTTCTTTTTTCCGCTTTCTGTCCAAACATGGATTTTAAATAGCGTATAAACAAAACAAAATAAATTCTCATCAACTTTTGATTGAGCGGTAAATTGAGATAAAGGATGCGTTTGCGAGGTCATTTGTAATGTAACGGGTGGTATTAACGATTCGTAAATTTCTATGGATCATTATTTGTCTCCGGTTTTAGCAGGATCTCTGTAAGAGTCAACCAAATGGTTTCAGCATCGGCCTATAAAGCGAATTCTTATCCAAAGGTTTATAAAAGAGCCACTGTATTACAAGAAAAAAGGCCATTGTGAAATATTTACCAATAAGACCTGATGCCCATAATAGTCCCGATAGGCTTTATTTCACTACGCTTGACTTGAACATTTCTCCAAAAGTCTTTATCTTCTCTACTATATAGTTTCTGTAATTGTGCGCTTGTGTCTGCAGATTCTCATTAATAACAACGATCTCAAATGACATTCTTATCAGTCTCTTGCACTGGTTTTCATCTTCTATCAGATACCCTTGAACCCATGCATCCGATTCCGATTGAGCGATCAATTGGGGAAAATTTACAATATCTGCTAGCATTGACTTCCGTTCGGTTTAATTGTTTGTCCATTTTTAATTAATAGATTTTAGGCGACGAGGATGAAAAACGTTCATTTTCCTAACACAATGCCAGGTTAGTGCCAAGTCGTCTGTAGGCAACTGAAGAAAAACCTACGTCGACGATGCAATGAGTGTATGAATTGTTTGACATTGTATAAGGACGCAGTGCTTGCGCGCGTTTTTCGGGGGCCATAGAAAATAGTCACTTATTAAACTGAGAGGAGGGAAGCTGATTGGCTGTCGGGATACTGTGTGTGTGCCTGCGTCTGAAATAGAGGCATAAGAATTAATGGTTTCCTTTCACTCACACCTACATGTGCGAGTTCGCATAACATCTGGTCTACGCCCACCGGAAAATTTGAAATGCACGATAATTGATGGGACATTCTCGTTCATTGCTTCAAATGCGTATATACGTATGTTATGATAAAAAGTAAATGTTCCGATAGTACGGAAATGAAGTACGTTTCGTAGGAGGTCCTTTTGACAATTCTTGAAATAATCCTAGGTTTAATTTTGCGGCACCAGTTTACAGTAGATTTGCCTTGTGAGTTATATCGGAGGTGCAGAGAAAATGCACTCTTTATGTACATTACAAAATAATTCTGCTTCGTTTCAATTTGAGTGAGATGGCCACGGTTAGACAAGATGAGATTAAAATCAATAAATGAAATGGAACTTTCAAAATGTGGACAAATGGCATCACACTACAGGTTGACCTATGCATGATCAACAATAGTTCACTCCATCTTAACACGGAATAAAAACGGTGATTGTACTCGCTGTTAATAAATATGTCCTAAAAGCAATCTTTCACATATTGCAAGTGAATATAGACAATTATCTGAAAACATATCAAGCGCAATATTCTAGGACTTGCCGAGTGTTTAAGAATAATAAATATTTGACACGCAAAGTGTGAGGAATAAGGTTCTTATTCGTGGAACTTCGTTTCTGGTATAAGGATCTAATACTCGGTAGTAGTAATAGTAGATTTATTGTTAGTAATGATTGAGAAACCCTAACTGATAATATTTTCAAGTCTACTCCATACACACGTTATGTGGACGATATTTTTATTCTTACAGATGACGGACATTTTAAAATACTTATACAATATTTTAACTCAGTTCATTCAAATTATTCTGTATAACATGAAGTAGAAATCAACAACATTGGGGTTTATAGACAATAAAGTTGAGGCGAATAAATGGGATAGTAAAATGCTTAGTTTACCAAAAGCGACGCAGACTGGTCAATAACTACAGTTTTCCAGTTTTTTCTCTTGACTTACAAACGTGGGATTGTGAAAACCCTATTTCATCGAGCGAGAATCATATATAGATGAACTGAGTGGAGAAGAGGATTTTCTTAAGAGAACCTTGCTAGACAATGGTTACCCAGAAACGTTTATAAATATTCACAGTGGACCATTCCTAAAAGATGACCCAATCAAAACATTTAGCAAAAAAGCTATCTACTCAAGGCTTGCGTTCAAAGGTGATCACATTTATAACATGATGCGCTGTATTCTATGTCAGCTCTAGATCACACATTCTCAGCTGCTGAACTCAGACCCATAAGATTCTTCTCGTGGAGTTAAATTGGACAGACACAAACATGTCTTGCAAACCGGTCCCGTTGGATAGCTATATATCAGTTCATCTGCAGTTGCGGTGACACAGATATAGGCAGAAACAACCGTTTGTTATTACAAAGAATGGTCGAACACATTTTAAAGTTGTTGGTGAAATGGATAACAGAACCGATAACCGGTAGTCAAGTGATCACACCACGTCCAGTGTTATCTTCTGCAAAACGTCTCATGACAACTAGACCTCAATTCGTCTTTCCACCTAGTATTACGTAATCGAAATGGTAAGCCTTTGGCAATTAGTGATTTGGTGCTTATTCAATTACATCACTCTAAGTTATGTACCCCAAAGGTTTGATATAATCATTCCACTTAACGTGGAGTTCAGCTTCTATTTCTATGCTTAGTAATCTTTTTATGCTTGTACACGTTCATTGAACATAACTGAGCAGACCAGTGTGCTATATATGCGCCTCTTTATTTTAGATCAGCTATTGAGAAGATTGAGCGGAACGTTAACATTTCGCGACATTTTTCTTCTTTCTGTATTGATGAAATGGTTAAACGTGAATCAATGCTTCAAGTTATAGTACTGACTAAAACAAATCACAGAGGCGTCAATTTCCTAAAGCTTACACATACTATAGGACTAAATCAAAATAAATTAATGTGAATCTCAATACCATCCCGACTGAAGTAATCCACTAAATTTATATCAATATAGTTACTTAATTTTAAATACATGGGTAACGGGTTGAACTCTATGACTTTATGATAAGGTTCCATTCATAAGCGGTATGATTCTCCACCACTTTTACCGCAGTTTGAACGTTGAGAAAAGTGTTTCCATCGTATAATGCTGGCGAAAAAATTAAGCAAGCTCTCGGGCATTAATTGACATTTATTATTCAGAAAATGCATGAAATTACATTTTTTGTAATCGATAGTTCATCCGTTTGATTACTTTGGGGACACTTATCACAATGCGTGTGATGCCATTATTGAGAGCTTATTTGAATACAGTTCTGCTTGAAAAAGAGATGACTTTTGCCCATGTTTTTCAAAGGCCATCATCATAATCTATGCGCGGCAAATTCAGATTCATACTTTTTGTCTGGAGAAGGCATAAAATGATTCTGTCTGACGGAGCTATTTATACTTTATCAGTATAACGACGTTCATCTAATACTAATAATAATAATTAATGCAGTTATTGCAAAAAAGTTTTGATTTCCCCTTCGTAAATGATCATCACCAGAAAGAAAACGTGGCAGTTCTGGCTCTTTTTTGTTGAGAAATGATTGAAGTCATTTTTTTGTTCCCATTTCTCCGAAACTAAATAATCACGGATGTTACTGGTCAAACACGACGGGCGTTTTTCTAACAGCCTTTGTCTTTTCGAAACGGTTCAACCGTGAGCGATTAGAAGGAACAGTGCACAAACCCTATCGAAAGCCACTCATGGCTGTACATATCTACGCACAAATGCAATCGATGGGAAACAGCGTTGTGAACGGAGGGAGCATCTGTAGAAGCTGCATAAGGACCAAAATGCATACACAATGCGTACAATGGATACAACGTCGACATCGCTATGCATGAGTTTAAGCTTATCACCGAACAGGTGTTTGGTTATCAGCACTAGCCCCATGGACCGATGTGCCTGTTGCAGAGAGCACCGAAAACAGTAGAATGGTCTATTTGTGTGTACCAAATGCAGGTGCTTCTGCGCGGTCAGTCGTTTATGTACCACAGAGACCATCGGTAGGAGACTATCAGGTAGGAGAAGCACATAAACAATGGGTAACAATAATTGGTTCTCTAATGAGTGTAACGGGATGAACTGTGAGTTGGTAAAATGCGACTAGTCTGTTTGTCGTGCTCATGCAAGGGTAACAAACTGGTGTTCAGCTAAACCTTACACCGCTTCGTTAAACCCGACAACATGCAGATATTCACTTGGTTCATTGTATTTGATGGAGCAAAATTCTAGTTTGGAAGAACTCAGATAAAAAGTACAGCAAATGACAAAATCTTAGTGTTACATCAGATGCAAATTTCGTTTATTTAGCCAACGATTCTCAAAAGTTTCACCTAAGCAGCGGTTTCATTCACTTTTGTTCTTTGACAAATCTTCCAACAACAACAACAACAACAATAACAACAACAACAAAAGCAACAACCGACGAGAGGACAAAATAAATCTTATATATTTTACACAAATTGTTGTACTTACGAGTCATTGTTTAATAACTTAATTACCGAGTGCATCAACATTTTATAAACAATATAGAATGTTGGACCGTTATTAAAGCATACTCATGATGAGTTTGCTTCCTTTTTTATGATAAGTTAAAGTTGATTATGATTGAACGGGGATAAAAAATCTTGATTTAAATATGAAAAAAACAGACATGCTGAAATGAGCAACATTATTTCAGGTCAATGAGACTTACTCGTACATCCTCGAAATTGGTGAACAGACAGCCGGCTGTCTGCTTGGACGCACTGGTCGCTTTTCGTAGATCACTCATGCTTAGCTGGTAACCTTGATAGAATCTGAAACACGTGTGACATGGGCAAGGTTGAAACAAAAGATTACATTTGTAGTGTAATGAAGCGGTTCAATTTAAACATATACAAACTGGATAAGTAGTAAAATAGCGGCTAGGCAGCTTTCTATGGCCACTGGCTCAACACGAATTGGAATATTAGTATTACCGTTGGCAACAACAACAAACTTTCGAGTGTGACGGACGCACACACATAACTTAAAAAGTCCGACTCAGTCACCGTGGACTGTAGGCTGGCTCAACCAAGGTTTGGCAAAATAATGAAACCTTGGATGTGAAATACGATAACTCATAATCATCTGCATTGATATCTACAAAGTACTGCTCAGAATAATACCGGATTGAACAAAGTCGGGTGCGACAGGAAATATAACAATAAACTACAATGGACTCTATGGGGACGGTAAATCGCTTCCACAAAGATTTGTGGTTCTCAGATGTGCAGAACATACAACACCGATTTCCAGTTGAACGGAAACTGAGATGCCAAATAATTCGATGAATACTAAACTTTTGTCTCAAGGCGGTGTTCAGGTCGATCATTTAAACTTATTGACAATATTTACGAACTCAGTTGAATTATTGATGTAAACCACCCATCATAATTCCAAAAGAAAATATTTGTCTATTCGATGATATTTGTGTATCCATGTTCAACTTTCTGCAGAGCTTGGAAGACCAAGTATTTCGTATATAAGATATAGGAACTTCAGGTTATCTTACAACTAGCACAAGGAGCATCAAATCCAATGCATTATTTTCAAAAAATGGCTGAAGACAGCTTTGAGTTGATCTGTCGTTTTCTTCTTGACGCATAGGCGGCTTCTGCATAATACTTTTTACGAATGGCTTAAAGAGTCAATAATTTTATTTTAATTCATTGCATTGTTATTCGAAGCATCGTTTCGATGGAGTTACTTAAATCGGAAATCTACTCGACAAATGGAGGTGATCCTCTCCATTATCAAGCAACGCTCTGAATATGGTTAACTTCATCTAAACATTAGTGAGCTTGATTCTTCAAACATCCCTACAAATACTACTTCTGTGTATAAACACCCAAGCCGCAGAATCCTGTCCATCGGTTAAATTACAGAGTTTATATTGGTGATCACAAATGACGGGCTCTAACCTGTATGATACTGTATACAGTGAAGGTTGAAGGACTAGAATGAACCGATGTTCAACATTCTGTTTACTATCTGCAGTGAATGCAAATTAGGTAACTGGGCGGTTGTTAAGTGAAAGCAAACTTGGAGACCAATTTATCCAAATGTGGTTAATTAATTAGTTCTTCGTGAGCACCACTTTATCGCACATTTTACTCAATAAACATGCACATGATCTAAACACTAAAACAATCAGTTTTGCACATTCTTGAAAGACAAGGATAACTCAGGCGAACCTTATACAAGAATCATTGGCGAAAAGTTTACGCCGGAGGGGAACACAGACACAACAAATGTAGGGCTTACCGAAGATGCATAAGGAAGGCATTCCATTACGACCCATCCTAAGAATGATTAATTCATCGCAACATGCATTATCAAAATGGTTAGCTAAAGTTCTGATACCGGTGCGAGAGTCAATTGTTCGGAGTAATGTCAAGGATAGTTTTGAGATATGTGTAAACACTTGACCCACAGAAATATTAAAAAAGACAGATGTTTATAATGAATGTCAACTGTCTATTTACAAATGTTACGCTACACAAAACCATCGGGATTATTTGCCAGGTAATTGAGGAAAAGAATTTGTAAATGGGATTGCCTATCAGTGAGCTATCACTACTTCTACTCCTTTGCACATCAAACGTTAGGTTTTCGTTACTCGGACAAGGATATCGACAAATAGATGGGGTGGCCATGGACAGTCCGCAGCGACCGATTCTTGCGGATATTTTTCTTGGCCACATAGAAAAAGAGGATATCTCAAAATCAGATATATACTGTTGCTGTTGATGACATCTCCGTCATAAGCAACATCAAAGAGGACGGAGAAAACCTATTTTATCGACTCAATGAAATTCACCGGAACATTCAGCTTACTCGTGGTCTGGGCAATACTTGCATTTCACGAGCTTCGCTCCCATGCAATAAAAAAGGTCTCGTCCGCAAAATATTTCATCGAGCTCGTGAAATATGCACAGAGGCCTCCCAAAATGATGAAAGCAATCTCCTAAAAGAAGTACTACAAGCAAATAGACATCCAGGTGCATTCGTCGCTAACCATAATAAAGAAGCATCAAAAATGGAAAACCCAGTAACTGTCCCCAAAGTGAAAACCTTTTTGAAGTTGGCATACAACGACGATGACGTGAGTGAACCGTACAGCAAGTGGTTGAACTCTGCCGTCAAGCGGGTTTATTACGCAATCGACCCAGTCATTGTCTTCACCTCCACCTGGATACCATTGCCCTCCTCCGCCAAATCACATTGTATTTCCCAATTCAAGTGTGGATGCTCGGCTATCTACAAAAGCGGGACAGAGAGACAGTTACGTCACCGAATGGTCGAACACATCTCGGTGTGGCTTTGGAGAGCGATGGACGACACGTTTGTGCCCGTCGAGTCATCAAATGATCAGAAAAGACTTAGATCTTCGATAATACGACACTTATTCGAGTAACAACATTTTGTCACTCCAAAACACGCATTCCAGGTTATCTACAACACAACAAAGAAAGTTTCAAATCATAAAATAATCCCATAGACAATGTAGAAAATGGTATTTGCGAAGAAATTTCTTTTTCGATCTATCGCATCAGGCGTTTATATATATGAGGTGATCTTAGTATAGATGTCTGATTGGTGGATTAGAGCTCAGTTAGTAACGATGACAGGGGTGAGCAAACACAACAAACGAATATGACAAGGTCAGCGATAGTAGTGGTGAGGGTTATAAGACAAACGTCAAAATGAAAACATTAGAGAGATGGGCAGATTAAAATGAAGGTTTGGAGCTAAGAGGAGAGAGCGTAATGAAGCTACATTATCGTTACTAACTGAGTTTTAATCGGCCAATCAGACATCTAAGATCTAAGATTAACTTACATGAATAAAGGCCTGATGCGATAGATCGGAAAGAAATTTCTTTGCAAACACAAAGTTACTAAAAGTTGCCGAGGCTCTAGACATTCATACTCTCAAACACTATCTATGCAAACAACGTGAATGGTTAGTCACATTAGCTTAACCTTGGTGATTGACCTCCTACCATCTCTCGTCCTGTGTCGTGTTGCCCGTTACGATTTGCAGTCTTGTCTTTCTGTCGCAGTTATTACCTCACCGACTATAAAAAAATCACTTTGACTGCAGTATGCACGTGTACAGATGCAGCAAAGTGACCATGAGTAGATTGAGCAAACCCATATTTCTGACTTCTTCGTTCAAATATGCATTTTGTTTCCAGACTGAAACTCCAAATTTAGTGAGATTTGTTCTGTTGGAGGTTGGCGTTTGCGTAAGTTAATACTCTCAATTATTCGATCATCTTTTGACCCTTACGCCAAAACGAATTGCGCAACTTAATTGCTCTAATTGCTGTGGTAGTCTAATTATATAAATAAATAAATAGAAAAATGAATAAATGTCTATCTAGGGAGACCGTACCCATGAAGTACTGAGGAAAGCGTCAGCCTATCTTGCGTTAGTGATAACTGTTATTGGAATTATGTCACTGGGTAGGACAATAAAATCAATTTACAACAAACGTGATTACGTCTTCTGGACGAGTCTGATTAGGTGCCCAATTTGCTGTTTCACCTGACTAACCTGATTTATGGGAGGAATTATAAATTCTGTATAGCGAGCACCCTCAGTTAAACCTTTTGTTGCTCGATGCCAGGAATTTTGTTTACTGTATTTCACTCTAAGCAAATCCAGATCAAGACGAATGAGCGTGCACAGCCGTCATGCGTTTTCGTGGGTGTCGAAAGTGGTGAGATTGTAAAGTGCTGATAACAGCATCCGCTACCCACATCCGATGGACAACTGAACCTTACAGTTGAAAATAATTAATAAGGTTAGTGGTGTGTACTCTTTATGCTTTTACGTGGACCGTCTAAGTCAGCTTTAGGAAATCAATCTTAACCGTCCTTCCCTTTTACAGTTTGATGGTTTCTTCGTTCACATGCTATTCACATAGTGGATACGATTCCAATGAGTCACGATGTCGAACACAATACGAGTGCATTCTAGATTTGAAGTTGGTTTTCACTATTTCGACACTGCTTCAGCTGAAATCACTTCAATAAAATACAAGACCTGGTTGGATCTCATCAGCATCGCTCACGCCTCATTAACATGACGAAATCATCATCAAAACAAATCAAATCATTCATTTCTCTCATGAAACAAAAATCAGATTATGGAAGTTTCCAAGCAAGTCCTATCCCTGGAGGCTAGTGCTGAGCTGAGCGAGGACTGATACTCACAACGACCTCGAATATACGGATTGTGATATATCGTGTAAATCCTAAATGGGAAACAGTTTGCTCAGCTACCCGGTTGCTGAGTGGGCAGTATGCTAGCCTTCTATCTGTGAGGTCCCGGGTTCGAGCCTTAGTTGGGTCGATGGATTTGCACTGCTAATGAGACGCTACCAGGTCAAAACAGCTGTCCATTGCTTCCCAGCTTTTCTGCTCACGCCTCATTTACACGACGAATTCATCTTCAAAATACAAGACCATAAAATGTAACGATCTAATGATTATTAAGAAGCATCTTTTACTCTTCAGTTTTCTGTATTGAAATAGTTGCGGATGTTACTATCGTCCGAGGGTACTGTGTAAAGATTAACGTTGCGTCCTACTGTCATTTCTGGTAATAGATTATTGAAATGAATTTCAATACTGTCCAAAAAACTGGTAGCATGGATTCGGTAGAACTCATAATTATTTCAGGAAATGGGCTCCGTATGGGTAGATTTTATTTGTTTTATTCTGAAATTATAGTAACATCTAAGAATGAAAAATTTTTCTCATTT